GGTCAGACACATTCTAGTGGACAGTCAGCTACATGAACAAAAAACTTTTGAGATTTAACTGCATGAGAAAGGACCACCCCAGCTGCAATTTAGAAGAAAAGATTCTAGATTCTTTACTGGAAACAGGAAAATCTCCCTTCTCTTGAGCAGCTGTTGAATGTCACATTAGACATTCAGCTCCAGCTCACTTCAGAGGGTAATTTTTTTTAACCTAGAAAAAAGCAGCAGTCAGCCAAGAACTGAAGAGAAGCAGCCAAAACCCTGGGAGAACCAGGGCCGTTTTGTTGTTGTTGTTGTTGTTTAAACACAAAAATGGGCAAAGAGAACTGACCAGTCATCAGGGAAGTAAGAAATAATTTGTCTGACACTCCAGATGTTCAAAGACTTTAATAAGCCTTAGTCAACATATGCAGAAAGAGGGGAAACCATTCACTTACCCAGGAACTTTGTAATCTGGTTAATGAAAGCCAAGTCCAAAGGGAACTTGGGGAGAGGCTGGCAGATAGAGAGAATGAGGGGAGATCATGTCAAACCAGAAGGTGAAGATGTACAAGAGAAGTTCCAGGATAATTATTCAGATAATCAGGCTCAATTATGAGGCAAAAATGCACAAGAGGGTACTATGAGAAAGATCAAAGGAGGACTTAAGCACATATCCCAAAGAATTTTAAGATAGGAAAAGGAAAAAAAAATATGCATAACAGTATTTTTTGTTATAGATATGAACTGGAAGCAAAGTGTAAATATCCCTTAATAGTAGAATGGGTAAGCAAATAATGATATTAATATAATGAAAAATTATTCCACCATAAAGGACAACAACTATGAAGGAATCAAAAGAAACTCGAGGAAACCTTTTGAAGTGGATGAAAAGTAAAATACAGAAATCTGGAGAAAATTCATATGATTATAAGATTAAAAAGCAAAACAACTCTGAACAACTTCAGAACTCTGAAAAAAGTAGTGACCAATCAAAACTCCTAAGGAAAGTGACATAGCATATTTACTGACTTGAGGCCGAGAAGAGGTTATACAGAAACAAAAAGATATGTTGCATTCAAGGCAAAGTTTTGATTTATTTTCTTTGATTATTCTTATTTGTTAAAGGGTAGGGATAAGGGTAGAGTCTCACGTTGGAAGTTAGTGGGTGGTAAAAAAAGAACACCAGTCAGTCGGACATTCAAAAGGAGAGGGAAAAATCAAGTTCAGAATGACACACAATCAACTAAAGCATTTATTCTACATCTATTATATGTTTGGCTAGGGAAGGGGGAGTGAGGGGAAATAGAGTAAGAAAAGGAAAACAAAGGTGGGAAGGGTAGTAGGAGAGGGACAGGAGAAAGGGGAGGGAGACAAGAAACAATCCTGCTGTTCAAGGACATTACATTCCATCTGGGAAGACTGTGTGTGTGTGTGTGTGTGTGTGTGTGTCCTGAATGAACACAACATAAATACAACATAGTTAGGGCGAGCAAGGCAGGGATAAGGGGGATCAACAAATTCTTCAGTTTAAAGAAAATGAGAGATCTTACAAAGAACAGTCCAGAAGGGAAAACATTGCAGAGATGGGAGATGGAGTGCACTGTGAGAAACAGAGAGGCCAGTTGGGTGCATTGTAGAAGTCAAGAAGAGAACCAACATGAACACAGTGGAAAAACAGGATGGGGTTAGGTTGTGAAGGGTTTTAAAAGGCTAACAAAGGCTCAGAATATTGGTCCACAGCTACCGAGGCTAGTGAATGCCTTCAGATTGGGAATACTGTGCTACAGAAGGGCTAAGGCCAATGAGATGTCCACATTAAATCTCACAGCAATATGGTGAACCCTCAGGATGTGGTGGTCAATAGGCTGTTTAAAAAGGAGTGAGTTGGTGCAGTGGATAGAGTACCAGCCCTGAAGTCAGGAGGACCTGAGTTCAAATCCCACTTCAGACCAAACACTTGACACTTACTAGTTGTATGACCCTGGGCAAGTCATTCAATCTCAATTAGCTTTAAAAAAAAAAAAAAGGGTGAGTTGGGCACAGTTAGAAATGAAGCAGGTCAAAGCTTCTGTACCAGTGAGCAGTGGAATCAGATTCATGAATTTGGTTACTGTACTTCCAGCATGGGAAAGTTACAGACACCTACTTTCCATCACCACCCCCAAAAATAGTTGACTACAGCAGCTTATAAGTAACTAGAACTCACTAAGCAGATAAGACGTTATTAGTCAGATACCCATTTAAGGAAAATTACTTTAGCACAGTACTGGATAGGACAGATTGGAGTGGAGAGAGAAACTGAGAGGGAAACAATTAAGAAGCTATCACAATAGTCTAGGCAAAGCATATATGGCAATGTTGTTACTACCTGTAAAATTTAACAATACATAACAGAAGTTCATGGTTAATCAACTCTGGATTTTGTTCTTGTTTGCATACTGAATTATTTGTGTTTAACTTCATGACAAAAAAGAAATGTAGAGTACTTTGCATGGTACTGAGCAAATCAGTTCCCTAAGCTATAAAAATAGAGGGCTGGTATAGCTAACCGCAAAGTACGGTACAGCTCAAAGTTAGTATGGCTAATCTTTTTGGCTCTATAATTCTATGAATCCTATATTCAGCTTTTACTTAACTATGTACATCCTTTGACCCAACAATACCCCTATTAAGTTTACAATCCGAAGAGATCGAAGAAGGAAAGCTTCAGTATGTAGAAAAATATTTATATTACATCTTTTTGCATCAGCAAAGAACTAGAAACTAAAGGAAAGTCCATTAGTTAAAGGATGTCTTAACAAAACAATATATCAACATGGTAAAATAATAGACTTCTGGAAAAAAGAACGAAAAAGATGGTTTCTGAGAAACTGGGAGGATTTATGTGAACTGACAGACAACAAAGTGAGTACAATTAGAAGAAAAATATATACAACAACCACAGTATTCTAAAGACAAACCCCTTTCCAAGACTGAGGTACTCTGATCAATACATAATTAACAACCACAAAAAACAGCAGACTGAGTACATTTCTATTCGGACAAAGCCAACACAGGAATCTGTTTTGCTTACTACACATTTGTCACACGGTTTTGTTTTTCTTTCTTTTTCAATTGGGGGTAATGTGGGAGGGAGGAAGAGAAGGTGTATTTTAGTAACCTAAAATAAAATGAAATTGAACTTTGAAAATTATTCCGTGTATACTTAAATGAACATCCTCAAGTTAATCACCTTAGTGTTGGAGCAGTCAGGTAGCCCAGTGGATACCATGCCAGGTCTGAAGCCAGGAAGATTCATCTTCCTGAGTTCAAATCTGGCCTCAGACACATAGTAGTTATGTGACCCTGGGAAAGTCACTTCACCCTGTTTGCTTCAGTTTCCTCATTTGTCAAATGAGTTGGAGAAGGAAATGGCAAACCACTCCAGTATCTCTGCCAAGAAAACCCCAAATGGGGTCATGTGACTGAACAACAACAAAGCACCTTAGTTCTATTAAGTAATTTCTACAGATGGGGAAATGGCTCCAACAGATTTTGAAAAAACTATTAATAAATTTGAAAACAAGACACCTGGCAGAATGTCCTTTGTGCATACATTTCAGGTTAACACATTTTTCTGTAGTCTTTCTAGTCATTTAAGCCCTTGAAGGGGTACATAACATTACTGTAATTCTCACCTAGCAAAAAGCCACTTCATGATTTTTGTTGATAATAATGAAGGAAGTGGAAAGTGGCACAAAGGAGAGAGAAGGTAAACGAAAGTGTTTCACAGCTTCCCCTAGGGGAAAAAAAAGTTTGTCCGATGTCAGTTTCAAATATCTGGCTCAGAATTCCGAATGCTGCATGACTGATGAATTCAAAACACACTGGTAGACACTATGAATAAGAATGAATGAACTCCAGAATCCATGACTGTTATGCTTACACTGTAAAACAACTTTTTAAACCTACAGACCAAACAGAAAACAATCAAAAATTTTACTTTAAAGAATCTATCAAACAACTGGAATTACACATGAAGAAAGATGGTACTGCTTTCCCTCCATTGTCACCATGTCCATTTGCTCCATCAGTTTCACCCAAGTCAATTTTCTTTTTTCATAATATGATCTAACACCAAATTTTTTCATCATCCATTTTTCTATCTCTATGCATTTCCTCACATCACCTCTCATGCCCAGCATCTTCTGTTTTTCATTACCTCCTTGCTAAGCTGTTTCTATTAACCTTTGGACAAATACCTCCTTCAAGCACCACTCTGTGTAAAGGAAGATTTCGATGCTCACACAGATTTCCATCTAGAGCAAAAAAAGGTCTTCAAACATTTAAAATCATGTATCTTTTGAGCCACCCACTATTATGCGAATATTTACTTATTTTTAAATTATAAACAGGTTAATATTGGACTAAAAATGTTTATATATCAATGTCTGCACATATATAAAATAAAAAGAAAATGTTTCTAAAGACTGAGAGATGAAATAATATTTTATCTCAGAGTCAACAAGAAATAGGAGAGTAACATGTTCAGACTTGTTCTTTAGGAAAGTAACTTTAGTAGTGATGTAGAAAATGAGCGGATAGACTTGAGACAGGAAGACTTTTAAATGACAGTATTTTAGGAGAAAACTGATAAGGGCCAAAACTGAGGTGGCAGTATGTCAGGAAAAAAGATGATTGAAGCAAAAAATGTTAAAATGAGAGAAATGTCAAGATTTGATAACTGACTAGATATAACGGGGGTTCCTGCCACAGAAAAGAGGTAATCTAGACAGAAAAGGAGTTTTAACCAGGGTTCTACAAACTTGTTTTTTTAAATGTTTTAATAACTATATTTTTAAAAAAAATTCAAACCGGTTTCCTTTATAATCCTATATGTTTTATCTTTTACATCTAATAACCTTCCAAGAAGCATTTTACATATGCTTCAGACTGGTAAAAGGGCCCATGACACAAAAAAGAGGTACCACTAGAAGCACAGAAATGGGTATGCTGAGGGGAGTATTAGTTAGGTCACAATGCCCTGAGGGACTAAAGTTGAAAACTCATAGGACAGAGGGACAAGTGTCCCAGGATAAGGACAGAAGGGTTGTGAAAACAAGCCCCAGACCCAGCTATCATAAAATGAACTAGTGGAAAGGAGTAAGGTATTTAAAAAACAACAACAACAACAACAACAACTAGAAAGGTAAGAAGGGGCCAGACTACGGAGGGCTTTAAAAGCCAAACACAGGAGTTCATACTTGATTTAGATACTGCATAGGCTCTTGTAAAGTATATTAGCACAGCTGTTATATTTTGTTAATAAGTGAATGCTGAATGTTCAGTCCCCGTATGGTAGTTTCCTTTTACATAAAAAAGAGGAAAAATTTTTGTTAAAGTAGTTACAGACTCTTTCTGGCTAGTACTCACACAAAAAATAAAACCAAACCAAAGGGTAGAAGTTGAAGAAAGCATTATCTTGGAATTAAGAGGAAAATTTTGATAAGTATAAGCTCTCCAAAAGTAAAACAGGCTGCTTTACGAGAATGAGTTCCCATATAAATATAATTCCATAAAGGGGATTCCTGCTCAGGAACAGACTCAATAAAAATGACTTCTAATTCTTTTCTGATAGTCTATGATTTTATATGTGACTCATCAAAAGAGGAATGGTAAGATAAGGAGTAATTTAGATTAAATGTAAGAAAGAAACAAGGGAAAGCTGTTAAGCTGAATATGGAAGCCACTGTGGGAAAAATCTCAAGACCAGCAAAATGTATTTCTTCCCATCAAGGACCCAGGATTTTATTGGTGTGAGCAAACTGCTGACACAGAGAAAGCACTAAATAAATGCTTGATGACTTAGGAGAGATTAAGAGGGTATTGAAACAGGAAATTAATTTGGAAGGAACTTGGAGAAAGATGTTACTTGGCTTGTGGTAAATATTCAATTTCACTAAATCTTCAGCATACTTAGAACAAGTAGAGAACTTGAAGTACATACACTATAAGGTAATATTTTTCAGTAAAGAAAACTCAAAATGTGGATAACAGTGTTAGAGTAGGTAATTTAAAATACATGTTCTAGATGTAAGTATTGCAGTTAAGAAGTGGCAAAAAGAATACTGTAAAAAAAAAATCAACTTCACCTCCTCCAAGAGTAAGTTCTCTGGTATCCATCAATTATTCAAAATTCAATTTCAGTCACCAAATAAAAAGTAGATCCCTAAGACTTTTCTTCAAAATATTACTCTATATGTTCATATACACTCAAACAATTATTCACTATTAGCTACCGTGTTTGTTTGTTTGTTTAAATAAATCTACTGCCCAAGAATAGAGTTTGATTCAACAAATACAAATGACAACATAAACTGGATTACTCTGAGACTCTGAAAAATTATGGCCTGATGCAGAGATTCAAAAAAGGTAGAAATGGATGATAATGATCATACAAAATTGAAAATGTTTTGAACAAATTCAATGATGCAAAGAGGTTAAAAGACTTAAAATTAAAAGAATAAAACCTTTTTAGAAAATTTCTTTGATAAAGGTCTTATTTCTAACATGCATGGGCACCTGATTCAAATCCATATGAATAAGAGTTATCCACTAATTGATAAATGGTCAAATGCTATGAATAGCCCTCAGAGGAATGACATCCAAATTATCTTTACCCAAATGAAAAACAAATGTTTCAAATCATCAATAATTAGAGGTATAAATGCCCTCACATCCATCAGACTGGCAAAACTGACCCCTCCCCCCAAAAAAAAGGAAATGACAATTCTTTGAGGGAATAAAATAGGCACTTTCATGCATTGATGATGAAAGTGTGCAAATCAGTCAATCCATTCTGGAAAGCAATTTAAAACTGTGGCCCAACTGTTACTCAACTGTGCATATACTTGGTTCCTGTAAATACCACTAATAAAAAGGCTGATACCCTAAAGATAAGAAAGAAGAAGAAAAAGGTACTATATGAGAGATCTAAACCACTAGAGAAGTAATCATTGCTGATAGAAAGGCTAGGCCAATATAATAAGAATGATACTACCTAAATTAAAATGACTAAAAAAAAAAATAATAAATCATGTAGAGGCAAAAAGGTTGAGAATTTAAAGGAAAGAATGAAGAAAAGTGGGAAGGAAGGTGTCAATAAATACCATATCACGAATTACACTGCAAAGCAGTAACTGCCGAAACAACAGAGACTGATCACTGGAATAGATTAGGTACATAACATGCAAAGGAACCTAGGAGCTTAACGTTCAAGAAACACCAAGTACCCAGCTACTGAGATATGTGTTCACTATTTGATAAAAAATGTTATATAAAAATCTGTAGCAGCATAATGTGGAAGATAGCAGTTTTAGACCAACACCTCATATCTTATAATAAGAAAAGCTCCAAATAGATATGTGGTCAAGATATAAAAGGTTACACCACGAATTAAAGAAACAAAAAAACAAGGAATAGTTCATGACCCAACAAGGCAGAGAATCAAAGAAGATTTTAAAAAGATAATTTTCATTACATAAAATTTAAGATTTTAAAGAAATACGATAAAACCAAGATTAAAAGGGAAACTAGGGGCAGGGGTGGAGGGTTGAGGAACTGTTGAAGCAAGTTTCACTAATATATGTTGCATGTCCAAAATATGTAAGGAACGGAATCAAATTTTATTAAAAAGAAGTTTTTGGTGTCTTTTTAACAAAAACCACCATATTTTTTTATGTAGATCTCTCCCACTTCCCCTCCTAAAGGGTTATCTCATGCTTTAAAAAAGAAAAAAAAAGACCAAAAAAGGGGAGATCAGTACCACTGACCAAAGGAACAAAAAAAATCTGAAAATGTGCAGCATGCAGAACTTGTGGACCTGACACCACTTCCAAAACATGGGGTGTCTTTTCAAGTTTCTTTTTTGAGCCATAATTATTCATTACAATTTTCACTATTGATTGTTTTTGTGGCTGTTCTTTCCATTTATACTTATAGCTCATAAAGATTTTCCCATGCTCCTCTGTATTCATCACATATCATTTCTAACAATACAGCAATACTCTACTATATTCATTTACCACAATTTGTTTAGCCATTCTCTGGTCAATAAACATCTACTTTCTTTCCAATTCTCTGCTATTGCAAAAACTGTTTTTATGAATATTTTGGTGACTTATGGGGACTTTCTTCTTATCAGTGGAATCTCTGGGTCAATGGATATGGACATGTTTATCCCTTTATTAGCGTAATTCCAAGTTTACAAAATGGTTGTGCCAATTCACAGCTATACCAATAATGCACCAGACTGCTTACCTTTCAGACTACTAGATGTCCCAGTGAAATGGGGTCAAACTCAGAGAAATGGGCACAATTAAACCATATGTAAGGATCTCTGCTGGCCAGATGTCGACTGAAGTTTTACAATATAATGTTACTGATGTTTAATGTATTATTATTTCTTGAAATATTTTCCACCTACATTTTAATCTGGTTTGTGCAGCACTCTAGACTGTTCAGAACTACAAGTTTCACATCCCTGTCCCAATGGATAGAGAGCTGGGTCTGGAGTCAAGAAAAACTGAGTTCAAACCTGACCTCCGACTCTTATTTAACTTTGTGACCAAAGAGAAGTCACATAACCTCTGTTGGTCATAGCTTCCTCAACTTTAAAGTGGGGATAAGAGCACTTAACTCTCAGGGTATTGTAAAGATCAAATGAGATAATGTGTGTAAAGTGCTCCCAACAGTGCCTATACGTTTACATAGCGACTGGTGTTATTATTACCTACCCACAACCCCTCCAACATTGACTACTCCCATGCTTTGACATCTTTGTCAGTTTGCAAGGCGTGAGATAAAACTTCAGGGTTGTTTTAATATGCATTGCTCTTTACTGTCAGTGATTGGCAGCACTTTTTCCATATGGCTGTTAATACTTTCAATTCTTTTGAGAACTGTTTGTCGAAATCATCTGACTACTTATCTTTTAGGAAATGGCTTTTCATTTTATATTTATAATACATGTGTATATATATACACAAATACATGTATGTAGGTAGATGCATGTACATACACCTCTGTTTACTGTTTATATATCCTGAATACTAAACTTTTATCAGAGAAATTTGATACAGCTTTCCACCCCATTAAAACCACTTCCATAGGAGGGAAGAAGCAGAAAACTATGAAAGAATTTTTACAACCAGTGTCTCTGATAAAGGCCTCATTTCTAAAATATATAGAGAACTGAGTCAAATTTGTAAGGATACAAATCATTCCCCAATTGAGAAATAGTCAAAGGATAAGAACAGGCAATTCTCAGAAGAAGAAATTAAAGCCACCTATAGTCATATGAAAAAATGCCCTAAATCACTACTGATTAGAGAAATCAAATCAAAACAACTCTGAGGTAACCACATCACACCTATCAGACTGGCTAACATGACAAAACAGTAAAATGATAAGTGCTGGAGAAGATGTGTGAAAACTGGAACACTAATGCATTGTTGGTGGAGTTGTGAACTTATCCAACTATTCTGGAGAGCAATATGGAACTATGCCCAAAGGCTATAAAAATGTGCATAGCCTTTGACCCAGCAATACCACTTCTAGCTCTACATCCCAAAGAGATCATACAAATGGGAAAAGGACCCACATGTACAAAAATATTCATAGCAGCTCTTTTTGTGGTGGCCAAGAATTGGAAATTGAGGGGATGCCCATCAATTGGGGAATGGCTGAACAAGTTGTGGTATACAAATGTTAACTGAACACTGTTGTGCTATAAGAAATGATGAGCGTGTTGATTTCAGAAAAACCTAGAAAGACTTACGTGAACTGATGCTAAGTGAAATGAGCAGAACCAGGAGAACATCGTAATTGGTAACAGCCACATTGTGCAATGACTAACTTTGATAGACTCATCTCTTCTTAAGCAACGCAAAGATCCAAGACAACTTGAAAGGACTCATGATAGAAAATGCTGTCCACATCCAGAAAAAGAACTATGGAGTGTAAATGAAGATCAAAGCATATTATTTGGCGCAGCTAGGTGGCGCAGTGGATAGAGTACTGGTCCTTAAGTCAGGAGGACCTGAGTTCAAATCCGGCCTCAGACACATAACACTAGCTGTATGACTCTGGGCAAGTTACTTAACCCCAACTGCCTCACCACCACCCCCAAAAAAAAGCATATTATTTACT